GATTAAGAAACTATTAAAATCCACTCTCCTGCTTGTAGGTTTTCAGTGCTTCTTGATGGTCTCTCAGAATTAGGGTAGTAGCTACAGCACAACCAGCTGTAACTTTTTTTAAGGCTCCTTTGTCAAAAATATTACTTTTGGTTCTCCAGCCAGAACAGTTGTCATTCTCTTAAAGTATCTTCTGCAGCTAGATTTGAAGATCTCCTTCTAACCTTTTGAAAATAACTCATAAGAAAAACATTTTTCTGTGTTATTTAGATTGAGGGGATTCAGAATATTTTTCAACCACCAGCCTATTCTGAGAAAAGAGCTGCTTTTATCTTCTGACATATCTTCTCAGTACTACTTTCTGCAACCTGGTTTTGGCTTTCAGACAATAATGATTAACAGTTTCCTCTAGCAATAGATAATTATTATTTATCCACAAGGATTTTATTATATTTGCAGCTATCTTTGTCAACAGCACCTTGTTATCCTGCTTACAGAAGTCAGCAGTCTTAAAATGGTTGCTTTCCCTTGGAGAAATCTTATAAGGTAGTTTTGGATAATTACTTTTCTCTCCGATGAATTTCATACACATTTCACTTAAATGCTTCTGGTTGATAACAAACTGTTTCTGAGGCAACCAAGAAAGTTGTGGGAAAGTACACAGAAGATGAACCCTGCAGTTCCCTCCAGAGCGAAGGGTGCAGTCAAGTGCTATTAGGCAGCACGTCAATGCAGCTGGTTCCTTGGCACATCTTATTTACAATTAGTAAAGTGTTGGTACACAAGAGAAGTAGCCAACAACGTTGCAAAGATTTTGTCAGTCCCTCTAATGACATATCTGCAGTTTGTCAGCCCTGTGGTCATGTTAAGGACTATGTGTTTGACTAACAACCACTGGAAGTTTAATACAATGGTATGCCCATTTGCGCTGAGAATGATCTCGTTGTCACGTCTATGTCTGTGGCACATCAGGGTTACATTACAGTTCCCTCCACAGGGAGAAATAAAGAAGTGATTGCAACCTCCTTCTCCCTCCCTCCCTCCCAAAACAGAGTTGGGGGCTGATACACAATAAGGCAGCATAGTGACTGTGTGCTGCACTTTTGGGGTACGAGAGCTCCCAGTACATTCACTGGCTGCCTCATGGATACAGATCAAGAGTGGATTCTGGTGATGTAAGAAACCACCTCTCTCCTGACGTCAGGCTGACACAGGTGAAGTCACAGAGGAAGCAGAGACAGATCTTCATTCCTTTGTTGGGGAGAAGGTGCCTCTCCAGGTCCTGTTCACATATGAGTTCACTTTCTCTATGGCATGTTGCAATATGTTAGGATGCAACACAAAGCAGGTGTTTAGAGAAGGAACTCTTTGGGAGAATAAAGGAAAAAAAAACCCTCAAAGATTATGATTTAATAGGAGAAAAAGTGAGAAAATACTTGTTTTGCCTCCAGTGGTATTTTTGTTCTGATAGTATTACTTTATCATTGATAGCTGCAGTGCAGATAAAATCTAACATGGCTGATTTCTTATCTTAGAGAAGGGTGATTTTGTTATTAAGCAGTATAGAAATAAAATAATTTGTATGTGTTCCTAACTTTGCTCACATTTCTCATGGTATCTTTTTAAGATACTTAAGGTACAAACTTTGCCATTAGAGCATAGCATCTCCCTATCTTAAAAGGAAAATGATGGTCTTTAATTATCTAGCATTTGTAAAATGCTTGGGGATCTTGGGGACCAGGTATTACTGATGTATAAAATGTTATAATTAAAAAACTATTCTGTGGGTGTGTATGCTGGGTCGCGAACCATCTGCATCACTGACAATGTAAAAGTGTCATCAGCATTCAAGTTAGAAGATTAACGATGTTTAAATTAATGACGCACTTGTGTTAGAAGACTAATGGCATCTAGATTAATGACGGCTAAAAGCAAAAGTATTTTTGCTCATTAGGGAAGAAACAGATAAGAAAGGAATCTTTAGAATAACAAAGAAATTTATCTACCAGTTGTGCACGCTTAGTAGCGCTTGTTGAAAGTGCTGAGAGGAACGAGTTTTTGAAATGAGCATGCGCCAGAGCAACACACGGATTTGCTGTCACAAGAATATATAAGGACTTGTTTTTCTAATAAATGTTAAAGCTTGGCTGTTAACCATACGGGTGTGTGTCATGCCTCTCATTCTCATCCTGCAAAAATAAGGCCTTTTGCTACACTATTAAGTTCTCATTTTGTTTTTACCCAAGCTGTAATTAGACAGGGAGGTTTCCCATTCAGTATGCACACTGACATCTGTTCTTGATATAAAGCTTCTGGGATTTGGTGTATTTTCATCTGCTAAATGACGAGACAGAATAGCAATCCAGTTTATGGCTCATGAATTTTCCATAGTTTATCTCTCCAGGCTCCTGGAGCTGACTTGCATATTACATGTGACTGTACATTACGAAAGGCTTCTCAAATACACTTGATAAAACTATGCTACAGTGGAGGCCAAATTCTTCTCTGAGTTAACGCCTTTAAAATGCACGACATCAAACCGTATTTCCTCATTGCTGTCTGCTCACACAGCTCGGAGATATGCAGCGAGCAAACCACAGCATCCCTCTTTCTGCAAGCAAGTGCAAAACTCAAGCAGAGCTTAACAACCAACTGCATTGATAAGAGTCTGATTCATATTTGACCTCTAGAAGTGCCGTTGATTTAGTATTATATTCTCAGCTGAGGTATCTATAGACTTGAGAAACATTGTTTTAATGATGCTCTGGATGAACCTGGTCACCTCAGGGTAGTTAAACAATTGCTCTCTTACACTTTGGTACAACCAGCATGTGCTCAGAGAGTGTGAATTGGTATTGAAGTTGCCTTCGGTCAGCTTTCTTGAAGGAAGAGGCTGTTTAGCAGAGTACTGAACTTGATCTTTCATATCACCTTCAATATTACAAATCTGATCAAGTTTAGTGTTGGTTCAAAAAGTTTTAAGATTCAACCCAAAAATTTTTAACAATCCTGTGATCATCCAAGTGGCAAAGTATTAAACGTACTGACTGCACAATTCACGTAAGCAAAACTTAACTATATTAAACCAATTTCACATCAAGTGACAGATGTGTTCAAGTTCAGTGAAGAGTATTTAAGTCTAAAATGCATAACTTCCAGTCACTGTGAATCTCCAATGTGTCGGCACAATCCATATTCATTGCAACTCATGAACTCCATACTAAACATATGAAGCACAATAACGTATGGCATGCTGCCCATTCCTGGTCAGTTGAATGAGCATTATAAAAAGAGCAAAACAGAAGAAAATACTTTAGAAAGACACATATGGTATAAAGCCACACTGAAATTATTATTCAGAGGCAAGGAAATTAAGATAGCTGTCTCATACTATCTTACTATCTCTGCTGTGCAGAGGGTCCTGCCTGTGTAGGTCTATTGTTCATTCTGGAATCATATCATCAACATATCCTATATAGGCCACCAGGTTTCTCTGTAAGAGGCTGAGTGGAGTAGGGAGACATGGCCCTGAAGGCTGAGCCGCATGAATCCCATCATGTCTCAACATGCCTTGTGGAAGGTGGCATCCTGCTGGAAGGACGTTTCAGGTGGTTCTTCCTTCTTCTTGGAGAGTGTTGGAGAATATTTCTAGTGGACTTCAGTCCCATGATACCTATTCCGTGTGCAGTCAGCGGTCTTTAAAGTAGCCTCCAGGGAAACTTCAAAGAGTCCAAGTGTGTCTCCGAGGTGATGTGGATTTTGAGATGGGGGCAACAAGTTTGCAGATGACACCAGGTTGGATGGGAGTGTTGATCTGTTCGAGGGTAGGGAGGCTCTGCAGAGAGACCTGGACAGGCTGGAGCGATGGGCTGAGGCCAACTGGAGGAGTTTCAATAAGGCCAAATGCCGGGGGCTGCCCTTGGGCCACAACAACCCCCAGCAGTGCTACAGGCTTGGGGAGGAGTGGCTGGAGAGCTGCCAGTCAGAGAGGGACCTGGGGGTGTTGATTGACATCCGGCTGAACAGGAGCCAGCAGTGTGCCCAGGGGGCCAAGAAGGCCAATGGCATCCTGGCTTGTGTCAGCAATAGTGTGGCCAGCAGGGACAGGGAAGGGATCTTACCCCTGTATTTGGCACTGGTGAGGCCACACCTCGATGACTGTGCTCAGTTTTGGGCCCCTCACTCCAAAAAGGACATTGAATGACTCGAGCGTGTCCAGAGAAGGGTAACGGAGCTGGTGCAGGGTCTGGAGCACAGGTGTGATGGGGAGTGGCTGAGGGAACTGGGGGGGTTTAGTCTGGAGGAGGCTGACGGGAGACATAATCGCCCTCTACGGCTACATGAAAGGAGGCTGCAGAGAGGGGGGATGAGTCTCTTGAACCAAGGAACAAGCAACAGGACAAGAAGGAATAGCCTCAAGCTGCACCAGAGCAGGGTTAGACTGGCTATTAGGAAGCATTTCTTTGCAGAAGGGGTTGTTGGGCGTTGGAAGGGGCTGCCCAGGGCAGTGTGGGAGTCCCCATCCCAACTCTGGTGGAGTTGGGAACTGTCAGTGTAAGATTCACGGTTGGACCAGATGATATTCAAGGTCTTTTCCAACCGAGATGATTCTGTGAAGTGACCCGTGGGCACAGGAGACAGCAGTGCTGTGCGTTTCGGTGGCCAGAGGGGACCGATGGGGAGGTGGGTGCCTGGAGGTGCTCCCCGCCGGCCTCGCAGACCTGCAGCAACCTCCTGCCCCTAAATTTCCGAGACAGGCGAGGGCTCCCCCCACCGTCGGAGTCCCCTCCCGGGCAGCGCAGGAGAGCAGCTGGAGGTGGGGAAGAACGAGGGGAGGCGGGGAGCAGGGCCCGAAGCAGCCCTCCCGCCGCCGGGGCCCGAACTCCTTCTGGCGGCGGGAGGCGGCGCCTGCGGGAGGAAGCGGGCGCGGAGCGGGGGGCCG